TACTTTTTAAAAAATTTTATTGAAGTCATAATATTAAGCTATGTAAAACAAAATACACATTCCACGATGTAGGGAATAATATTTTTAACAAATTATACTGTATATTATTGCATATATTACTATCTAAAATAGAATAAAATAGAATAAAGCACTCCAATTGAAATTACAACTATAGATACTAAACAATATAAGATTGATATCATTGAAACTACAGTTATTGATCATATTATCATATACAATATTGATCATATATTATAATTTTAGTCCAACCAAATGCTATTGCATATATATATTATATTTTATTTTAGTTTCACATTCCAAAAGATATACAGAATATATTCATGGAACATCTTTGAAAATTTAATTTTTAAAACAAAAAACAAAAGTTATTACATATGTATATTTATAAAGTTATAAATAATTTATATTCGTGTTAGATAAAAACAGTAATAAAATAAAATGTAGCCATAACAATTTTATTTTTACCATTTTCTTGTTTTATTTAATGCATACTTCAATTATTTATAATATAAAAATTTATGAAAATAGAAGAAATAAAAATGATTAAGCATGAAAATAAGATAGAGAAAATATCTATGAAACCAATGTTTATAAAATTTTATTAAGTATGATGATTAATATCTTTTCACAAATATTCCAAATTTTCTTTTTCTGAACGCATTTTTAAGATTTTATGTTTTTGTATGAATAAAGGGAGAATATTGTGATTGTCTATTGATACTATATTATATTCATATAAATATTTGAATTTTTCTCTATGTTGCCAGACTTTAACTTAATAAATAAGTCTTAACTATTTTTATATACCAATTTTTGTATTTATTATATTGTATTCTAAAATCAATCTTCCAAAAATGTTCCATGAATATATCAACACTTTGTGTTTGTTATATGGATAAAAGAAAAAATAATGCTCTTTACAATATATTTTAAAATTATTAAAATAGATTAAAAGAAAAATAATTGACAAATTTATCACAAATAAAAATACCGAAAAAAAATCCAAATAATAAAATAATAATAAATTAGGCTAGATAAATTTAACATATTGAAATAATAAAAAGACAATAAATATTCTATAGATATAAAACTCATTAACAAATCTACTATGTAACTGCATAAAGTTCATATCATAAAATATATCAAATTCTAAAATTTCTGATTTTGAATTTGTTTCTGAAATCTCAAGATTTCTGATTCTAAAATTTCAATTTTGGTCGGAAAAAATTGAACAAAATTGAATTATTTGATCTTATATAAACATACCGGATTTTTGAAAATATTTAATTGCGTATACATATATAATATTTTAAAAAAACTTATTTTAAATTAACTTATTTTTAAAAAAAGAATTAGTAGCAATATATATTTAAATAATAAAATAGAATAGAAATAATAATAGAAAAATAATAGAAATAGAATAGATATTTTATTTAAATTAGAATATAAAAAAATAAATCTTTTTCATATTCGCTATTGGATCGATGGAATAGACCGATTTTATGAATATAAACTATATGTGAGTAATTTAATCTAATCTCTTTCCATAAAAATAATGAAATGATACTAATACAATAAAAATAAAATTTTTTATTTTTTTCTAACATTTATTAATTTTATGATATTTAAGATTTATTAAGATAAAGCAAAACATATATTGACATAAAACACAGAATGCTAGCCTTATAAAAAAAAATATAAGGAATAAAACTAGCAATTTTTCAACCGATTCAGTAGACTCAAATAATTAAAAATATAATATTGAAGAATATAAAATTAATAAGATTTATTTTTTTTATTATTATATCAACAATATAAAATATAATAGAATAAAAACTTAAAGAAAATCACAATTTCGATTTAATATTTTTTTTTGAAATAAGATTTTAAATTAATCTTATTCGTATTATATTTCATTCATATTTTTATACCTTTTTGTATCCATCATTGTATCATTATATTATATATCATTATATAATATTACCTTCTTTTATCGTAGCCTGCATAATATATTATCTATTAAATTATGTCTCGTATATTATTCTTTTTTTATATCTTCGTTCGCAACTCGTAAATTTGCTATAATATTATAAATTATATTATTTTTTTAATTTTTTTTTTTAATAATTTCCTATTAAATGTTCTATTAGATTAGATTTAAATCTCGATTATGTGTCGATCATTTCATTATAAAAAATTTTGAATTTTAAGAACTAGTTATAAAGTACTAGAATTTCGCGAATATAAAAATTTCGACCTATCTTCAATATTCATTTAATTTGTAGATAACAAAAATCATTTATCAAGTTAATTATCATTCAATAAATATATAAATATAATTTAAATTATATTATATTTATTCTTATTTTATATTAAAAAATTATTAAAATTTTCTTAAAAACAAAAAATTAAGATACACTTATTAAATTTATTAAAAAAAATGTAAAAAATATTACTAATTAATGTTAATAATTGCATTATTATTATTATTTTCCGATATCTTTTTTTCTTGCTATCCTTTTTTCTTTTTTAAATATAAGAACAAATTCCGAATTTCGATTTAAACACTTATAGATATCAAATTATATATCAAAATAAAGAATTAATATCTATATTATAACTATTTATAATAATAATAAAGCATTAGTTTTGAACTTTTTGAAATTACAAAATATTTATTATAATTTGAATTATTTATTGATTTGACATTAAAATTAAAAAAAAATAAATATATAAAAATATATAAAAATATTTGTATTTTATCCAGGTTCAGGACATGTCTACGAGTCGATGTCAAGGCTTTCGTGTTTTTCCTCCTTCAATGTTTTATCCAATTCATTACACTAATTGGTCACTATATTTTACAACAAACGATACTAAAACAATGAAAATAATCGAACAGGCAATGGCAATTCATGTGTGGAACAAATTAAGCAATGCTGAAAAGGTGGACGTAAATAATGACGTACCTTATGTGAATGTTGCGAAAAAACATTGTCCAAAGATTTTGAACAATTGCGGAAAACTATTTTAATATTATATATTGAAAATTACATGTATAAGATTCGATTGTTGAATCATTTGTAAGCTGGAAATTTCTAAATTTCAAGCAACATTTTCCTTTGTAAAAATTTTCGTTACGACTTTATCAACGAATTATGAACAAAAAAACACTAGTCGATCACGGAGCGCGTAGTCTAATCGAGCCATGATAATAACAGGCTATGAGCACGAACAAATCTAAGCACTATATATCAAAAATGTATTGAATATTATAATTTTTTTCATGATATAATTCGATATAATTTTTATCGATAAAATATTCATATATTATATCTTATAACATAAATATCATATATAGTAAAAACGTAATATATTTATTGTACACATAAATAATAATCTAAGCATTATTAAAACTATTAAACTTGATGAATTAGATAACATTTTGCGCACCTAATTAGAATTCAACATTTCTATAAATAATAATTTAAATAATGAAACTAGCAATTTTACATGTAAGCAATATTGATTGGTACAACAAATTGATTTCACTGTACCATGATTTGTAAATTCTGCTTAAGGTTTCATGCGAATGAAATATATGCCATTATGTTTACTGAAAGCTGGCGTTTCAATAATGTCATTCGTTCAACCATGTGCTCTATTCTCATTTCTGATTGGCTATCTATCTAAATTAACGCGAGAGAAAACAAAAAATACCACGTCTTCAATTAACGAAATTTTACAATCTATAATATTTCGATAATTGTCAATTTTTTAGTACAGTGTCATGATATTATACAAATAATCCAACAATAAAATAGATACTATCTATTTCAACCTGCATATTGTATACGTATAAAATATATAATTTTTCTTGGAATACATTTGAAGAATTCAAATCAATTCTAAATTTTTCTCTTTTTGCTCTCGAATTTCTATTCCCATTTCATTTCATTTAATGCAAATTTATATTATTTATTTAATAAATGAATCCTAATTGATATTTTTGTATACCAACTTTTTGTGTTTTTGACTTTTAAAATCTATTCTTTACAAATATATTAATATCTTATATATAAAAACAGAATTTTTTCTCAATTTTGAAATATATATTAAATATATTATGAAAAAATATTAGAATTAATACGAGATATATTATGTCTAAATAAAAATTAAGAAAGATGAATTTAAAATTCAATAAATAATTTTCAAGATAAAAATTAATAGTTATATCTCATTTTCATAAAAATAGCAATTAATATAGAAATAATTGATATCAGTAATATATTTTACGTTACAATAATATGAATGAAACCTAATATCATTAAAATTCGTTAGTAGATAACACATATTTATTACATAATTTCATTTGTTTATATATGGTGTTTAATTTGCTAAATAAATAATATATAGGTAAATAATATATAGGATAAAAATTCTAAATTATAAAATATAATATATATAATATATTAATATTATTTTATTTTAATTAAAATTATTTTCTAAACAATTATAACAATTCATTGAGAATTGTAATTGATTTAACAAAAATAATTTAATTAAATAATAAAAGAAGAAAAATATAAGTTTAAAAATAAATTTATTAAAATGTTTACATTATTACAAAATAATAAAAACAAAATCATAAAACATTTATTATGAACTAATAAATCTTCATAAAAGTGAACTATACTTGTATCATCTAGAGATTTATAGTTCATGCCTTATACGTTGCTACGAAATTGTTGAGAAAACACAAAGAATGTACGAATTATATATAATCATGTTCATCTATCTTTCGCCGTAATGCGTCAACTAAATTAATTCTTTTGTGTAACGTGTACGATTCGTCTGCACACAATTTCTATAACTTAACCTCTCTAAAATACATTGTGAAGATTTTGTACAGAATCGTGAAAAGAATGGCGGTTGGATCAACAAAAGTGGTACAAGTAACAAATATTGCACCTCAAGCAACAAAAGATCAAATGCAAACTTTGTTCGGGTATCTTGGAAAAATAGAAGATATCAGATTGTATCCTACTATACGGGATGTCGCAGTACCTGTTCAATCTCGTATTTGTTACATAAAATTTCACGATCAGGGATGTGTTGCTGTTGCTCAACATATGACAAATACTGTTTTTATCGATCGCGCATTAATTGTAATCCCTTATCAAAATGGTGACATTCCAGATGAACAGAGAGCTCTTGAATTAACAAATAATGGTACAGTTGTTCCAGGTAAGCAATAATGATAACCAAATTTCTATTCTATTCTTCTAAATTCTTTTTTCTAAATTAAACATTATTTTCAGTTTTATGTATGTATATAAAAATAGTAGTAGTATGTATATAAAAATAAATATAAATTATTTTTTCTATAGGTCTTTATCCTTCTGAACCAAAACTACCACCAAATGTTGTAAATACAATAGAAGGAATTCCTCCAAATCATGTTATTACTACTATAGATCCAAAATTAGAGGCAAATGGATTGCCACCTTATCCACATTTACCTGGCCATTTAGATAGCAGAAGAATTGAAGAAATAAGAAGAACGCTTGTTCTTGCTAATTTAGATCCATCTGTCACAACTGATCACTTACTAGATTTCTTCAGTAATAATAATGTCGAAGTAAAATATTTACGCATGTGTACTAGAGATTCAGATACAGAACATTATGCATTGGTAGAACTTTCTGAACAAGCAGCTGTAGTTTCTGCATTATTATTGAATGGAAAATTGCTTTTGGATAGAGCAATTAAAATTTATCATTCAACACAAGCAATAGCGAAACCTGAAGCAAAAAGTAATGAAGCAGCACAAAAAGAGATAGAAGAAGCTATGTCTCGAGTAAAAGAGGCCCACAATTTAATTTCAGCTGCGATAGATCCAATGATTGGGATGCTATCAAAGGATAAACGAAGTCGTAGTGGTTCTCGTAGCCGAAAATCTCGGTCTAGATCGAGAGGACGTAGTAGACGATCTAGATCACGTAAAAGATCACGTTCCCGTCACAGACGTTCACGTTCACGTCATCGACGAAGATCAAGATCTCGATCAAAACGTTCTCGTTCTAAAGATCGTAGACGAAAGTCTCCATCTCGTAGAAGAAGTAGTTCTCGTGGTCGACATCGTTCTCGTTCTCGATCTCGACGTTCTCGATCTCGCAGGTCCAGATCTAAATCTAAAGATCGTAAGAAACGATCTCCTCGTCGAAGAAGTCGTTCACGATCTCGAAGTAAACGTTCGAAATCAAAATCTAGACGATCTAGATCTAAATCCAAATCTAGATCTTCAAAATCAAAATATTCAGAAAAATCAAGAGATAAAGATAAAGAAAGGAGAAGTAAAGATAAATCAGATAATGGTAAAAAAAATGATGGCGATAAGGCTGATAAAGAAAAAAGCGAAAAGAAGTCTAATAAAGAAAAGAAATCTGAAAAAGAATCGAAATCCGAAGAAAAAAATAGAAATACTTCCGAAAATAGCGATACAAAGGAGAAAACAGAGTCTGAAACTTAAATCTTTATAACTTATAATCTATAAAAATTTATTTACATCTCTCAGACATTTTGTTATTTCAATGTTACGATATATCGTAATGTATTGATCAATAAAGAAATACAAGAATGACAAATTTTTGAAAATTGTTTTGATTTTTATGTATTTTTATGTACAAAAATTGCATATATTAGATTCTAATATAAGTGATACATTATTACATTTATTATATTTTAATTCTTTGCCTTTAACAAATTTAGTAAAGAATAAATATACATATTTTATAGTTCTAATTTTTTTATTTAAATTATAATATATTTAAATATTTATTATACAAGATTCAATTGTTCTAAATATTTGATATATTTTACATGTTACATAAGTTTCTAATAATATATTTTAAATTTTCTGATAATATATGTAAAATATTATAAACTACTTGCATAAAAAATTTCAAATTATCAAAAATAGTAATTATATTATTAAATTTGTATCAATTTAAAAATATTTTTTTATTTAAAAATTTATTTATAATTAATAATTCTTGTCAGACGTATATAGTAATAAATAATAATTAATTTAAGTAATTATATTTTAATTTTCTTTTTATATTATAATTTTCTTTTGATATTATAATTTTGAAATATGCGCCATTTATCCGAGGGCAGCACTAAGTAGTAATTGAGGAACCAATGATTATTGTAAGCACTTTTCAATAACTCTTTGTATATTTCGTGATTAAAAGCGAAAACTAATCATGGTATTGCAGTCTTCAAGAAATCTTAAATGATAGATAGTGACAGACGAATTAATCATTAATTTATCATTAATCATTAGTTTATTGCAAATTAAAAAAGTTTTAGCAATAAAATATATTGACATTACATATAAGATACTCATAAAATTGATAATAATATAAGTTTAAAGTTTTTACATATTATGAAAAATAACACAACGATATAATTCATGAAGTGATCAAAAAGTTTTAATAAATTTTTACATATAACATTTATAAAAAATTTCATTTTAAATATCATTTTTTTATATTCAACAATTTTATATTCAATTCTACAATACGAAGTTAAATGGTAAAGATGACATCTATAGATGAAGGAAAATTAAAACAAAGTTTATCAAAAGTATGTATACTATCATTTATTAGTATATATGTACTATAATATTAATGTACTTTTAAGTGATACTTAAAGCATTTTATTTTTTTAGTACCAAAATTCTGATATTACAAAAAAACATGTCATGAAAGTTCTGAATCTCTATAAGGGTTTAAAATATAATGTAGAACCATTTGGTAAATATTATAAATATATATTCTTTAAAATTTATTTATGTATTATTATTTTTATAACATATAATAATATAAAATAAATATAAGAAATATAAGTTTATTCACTTATTTCTATTATATTTTTCTTATTTTAGTATTTAATGACGGATCACGTAAAGAATTATTTAATTTACAAGGAACAATACCTGTATCTTATAAAGGTAATATATTTAAAAAATTTTTAAAAACATTTATATAAAATCAATTATTAAAGTGAATATTATTAAAACATTTTTAGGTAATTATTATAACATTCCTATATGTATATGGCTTATGGATACACATCCTAATAATGCACCTATGTGTTATGTCAAGCCTACTGCAGATATGAGCATTAAAGTTAGTATGTTTGTTGATCATAATGGAAAAATTTATTTACCGTACCTCCATGATTGGTTACCAGTGAGTGATTTGTATATAATTATATGTTATTATCTTTTATTTTCTTTATAATAATTCTATTTTTATTATGTTCAGCATTCATCTGATTTACTTAGTTTAATTCAAATAATGATTGTAACATTTGGAGAACAACCACCTGTTTACGCTAAACCACGACAAGGTATACAAGCAACTTCTACACCTTATCCTGTACAACGTGAGTATTTATTGTTTGTAAACATTTTTACAAAAAATTTGGATCTTAAAAACTATAAATTTATATAGCTTTCATGCCTGTACCTGGAAGTGGAACACATATACCTGGTTCTAGTTTTCCATCATATCCTCAAAACTCACAATATACAGGTGGAAATAACATTTATCCTCCATACATGTCTACAACATCTTCTGGATTTCCATATCAAGGTTATGGTTCATATGGAGGAACTGCATCAAATTATCCGTCACAAGGTTGTACTGGTTCTTTTCAATATCCTCCATCAACACAACCAGTAAGTTATAACTTTTAATAAATAAAAAATATATTTCATGTAAATATTAATCTTTTTTTATAATTTCCAACAGTCTCCAACAGTACCTGCTACTGCTGGTGCATCAGGTACAATTACAGAAGAACATATTAGAGCTTCATTATTATCAGCAGTAGAAGACAAATTAAGACGAAGACTTAAAGAACAATTTTCACAATTGTCAGCTGAATTAGAAACATTACGTAGAACACAGCAAGAACTTACAAGTGGATCTGCTCATCTAACAGATTTATTTGATAGATTAAAAAAAGAGAAAACTGAACTCGAAAAAAATATTAGTATACTTCAAGATAAAGAAGCTGAATTGGAAAAAGAAATTGCAAAACTTTCTGATAATCAATCAATAGATGTTGATGAAGCTGTTACAACAATCGCACCACTTTACAAACAGTATGTATTTGTTTAATTATATATTATGATATTTTAATTATGTATTTCAATATTGATTATTTTTTAAATATTATAATTATAGAATGTTAAATGCATTTGCGGAAGAAGCAGCTACAGAAGATGCTATCTATTATTTAGGCGAGGCTTTACGTTGTGGTATTATAGATTTAGATGCATTTTTAAAACAAGTACGACAACTTTCACGCAGACAATTTATGCTAAGAGCTCTTATGCAACGTTGTCGTCAAAAAGCAGGATTGGCTGGTTAAATATCTCATTCAATTCTTATCAAGTTGTGCTATTCAATATTTTATTTTATTACAAACGATATACGCAATACGAACTGCATAAATCCTATAAAGATATGTTATAGAAAGAAATATCTTCGTTATGGAAATTGAATACTACATATACAATATAAATTTTGTTTCATGTTATATACATTTTGTTTATAACAAAGAACTCAAACAAAGTTTTTATATACAAAAATTAACAAAAAATATACACATACACTTACATATATATATATAAAATAAGATTTGAAGGTTATAAAGGCTTTAAAATTATATTAAAAAATAAATATCTTTGTTTTACAGAATTATATTTTTAAATGTATTTATATTCTTATTTAAAAAATGTAAAAAAGCGTACTTTTTAATTGATTTTTTATATTATAAAAAAAATTATGTATTTAAAATAGTGATTTTAAATATTAAGAAATACATTGCTTATTTACTGTGTGATAAATATATAGATTAATCATTGTAATTGCATGATTTAGTAAAAATACATTGTTTTTTTTATTCTTATAATATTCTATATAATTAATCATATTAATTAAGTGCTATTTCATATAATTTTAAAATTAATTTTTTTCATTTATAAGATGAATCTGAAATAAAAAAATGAGATTTATATGTATTAATATATTCTTTAATTTTGTTGATTTAAATTTCTATAAAATAATGTACCTATACATAAATTCCAACCCAAAGAAGTAGAAATAATATACCAAAACCGGAAAATAATGCTGCCACTAGAGAAATTAATAACTCTTTAAACATATCCCTTGTAAATTTTGTGCTAGTAACTTCATATACAAAAAACCATGCTGTAAAGAATATTCCAATTCCCAATAATACCACTGCCAATAATGGAAAAATTGCAGGATTAATAGGAGAGACATATCTTGTCATAGATTCAACTTCCACCTAAATTAACACAAAAAATTTAATAAAAAAAAAGAATTTAGCATACATAAAATATATATTCTAATATGTATCATTTTCGTAAAACTTAAATACATACATAAAAATCATTGACATTTTTAAATTTCCAGATAAAAATAATATATAATTATAGTCTTCTTAAGTAGAATAAAACTTTTTACATAAAAATAGAAGATGCATATAACTATAAATATTATCAATTAAAAAACATGTTAATAAAGTTTTGAAAATTCATAATTCCAGTCGAAAAATACCGGAATGAAATTCCATAAAATTATAATTATACTAAAATGGAATACTATATCAAATATAATAAAAAAATAATAACTAGTTATATAATTGATATAAATCTTTAAGATAAAACAAATAACATACTTACCATTGTATCAAACAAATATTTTGACGTGGCTTAATGGACACGTAAAACTTATACGCGATTAGCAACAAATATGCAATCATATGTTGCAAACTTCAAGATAATATATATTCATGAAATAAACACAAATAATTACCAACAGTAAAAATTAAAGTTACTTAAATTTTTGAACATAAAAATAAATTACAAATATTTTTATATGAATTATATAATAATTATATGAATAAAAAAATATTAATATTAATAATTTATCGAATTATAATCTATTAATAATGTAATAAAAAAAATTTTATGCAATATTTAATCTTATGACTAAGAAAAATAAAATTTCTTATATGAATCTTTTAAATATATAAAAATTTATAATAATTAACATAGTTTTTATTATAATTATATAAGAAATATAATATGCACCATGAATTTGAATGATTTTAAAATATTTTAACAAAATATTATTTCTATAATAAATATATTTGTTGAAGAAAATTTGTTTTCAGCAAATATTTTTTTATTACATATTTAATATAATAAAATATATTTTTTTCTGGCATAATACATAATCAATATTTATTAAAAATATATTTAATACATATTATACGAAATATTTTTTGAAATTTTAAATTTTTAACTACGATTGTTTCAAAATCGAAGTATGTTTGTCACCATGATATGATTCATAACGCATAATATAGTATATTTCCAATCTTTATATTCTTTGATATCTACAATCAATTTTTGTACGTACTATGACAAGTTTTGTATATTTTAAATATGTAGACAATAATATTTTTTGATATAAAAAAGTTAAATGTTCTTATAATTATATGAATAATTCTTTAATAATAGATAATTAAATTTATTAATCTATTTTGTTTTTTAGTATTAATAAAATGTATTTTTATAAAATTATTATTTATAGATAAAACATGGCAAAGAATTCTTTATCAGAACAATTTTCCTTAAGATGGAACAATTTTTCTAACAATTTAACATCTGGTTTTTTAAATCATCTTACTGAAAATGATCTAGTTGATGTTACACTTGCAGTAGAGGGTCAGTTGTTACAAGCACACAAACTGGTTCTTTCAGTATGTAGTCCATATTTTAAAAATATATTTAAGGTATATAAATATTATTTTTCATATTTAAAATACATATCTATAAATAGTAATTGCTCAGAAAAGAACTTCTTAGAATTACTTTGTAGGAAAATCCTTGTCAACATCCAGTCATTATCCTCAAAGATATGAAATATGCTGAAATTGAATCATTGTTAAAATTCATGTATCAAGGTGAAATTAATATTAATCAAGAAGATTTATCTACATTTTTAAAAGTGGCACAAACATTACAAATAAGAGGACTGACAACAGAAGATACAAGTAGCACATTTGTTAATTATGATCAATTAGATGCTGATTCTTTTACTGAAAATACTGTTCAATCAAATTTAACTTCAATAAATGAAATTTCCAAAGATGTAAATATAATAGATAGAAGAAAAAGATCCCGTGATATAACAAAAAAAGGTTGCAAAAAGAAAAAACAAGATACATTATTAACATCAGAGAACATTCATGATGCATCTAATAAAAAAGTAAATAATGATAATCAAGAAGTTTTATTTTTAATGAATAACGAAAACAATGATACAAATGATATTATAGATGAGGAAGAAAATATTTCTACTATAAAAAGCAATAATAATGATAAAAACGAAGACACTACTCTAGTATATTATCCTTTTCCTTTGGATATTGAAAATTCACAAGAAAATTCAACTGAACAAGGTAAAAAGATGAGTAATTTAAGATTAAAAGATTTGCAAATTATATATAATAAATTAAATAATAATATGTTATGATATTAATATTTGTAACATTTCAGATGTGGAACCAGTAATTTATAGACTTTCTGCACGAGGTCGGCCACAATTAGTACATGAAGGTTATGTTTATAACTTGACATCTCGTTCTGAGGGTTTGAATAGATCTCATTATAGATGTGCTGAACAACATCGCGGATGTAAAGGTAAATGTGCAGTTATTGCTGAAAGATTTATGCCTACAGGTGTACATGATCATAATCATCCACCTGGATATCAATCAGAACATGATTATAGAAAAAAAAAGGTTTAGATGTAGATACTTCTTAAATCATAAATATTTCAAACTTAAATATAGAAAGAAGAAAAAACATTTTATTATTTTGTTATTATAATTTCAATAAGAATGAAAAATATTATTCAAATAATATTGACACATAGAATAATATATAGCAATAATTTTTCATAAAAAATATAGTATTTTTAAATTAGAAAATATTGTTTTATATTTCTATAATAAAAATTAGTTAAAATATTACAATAGTTGATAAAAATATGTGATTTCTATTGCAAAAGTTATAATTATAATTATATATAAAAATAATTTATGTAAATCATTATATTTTAATTAACTGTGATGCACTTTATAAAGGAAAACAGTTTAAAAAAATGTGATGTTGAACACATTCCACTTAGTATTATATTTGCATTAAAGCCAAATAAAAGTATTTAATTTATGCTATATGTTTACATATAAAACATTATTTTTCATGTAATAAATATAATTGTTTTTTATAACATATACACAAATGTAAACATGTATGTATGTATGTACATATGTACATATGAATTGAATGTTCTACTTACATTTAGGTTGTATAAAAATAATTTTTATATAACTTATCAGAAAAAATAATAAATTTTTCAGTGTATAAAATAGAAATTAAACAAATAACATCATTAACGGTATAAAAAGTATTAAAAATTGTAAGAAAATTTATTTTTATACTAGATTTTATAAATTTTTTTGAATTATTGAAAAATAATTGTCATAATTAATGTGATATAATGATTATAAATCATTCAATTTATAAAAAATTGATTTTATAATTTAAATAATTTAAATAATTTTATAATTTCATCTGTAAAAATTTATAAATATATAAAAAATATAGAAATAATGCGTTTTTCATAAGCATAGAAAAATTGTGTGAAACAATATTGGTTAAGACAAAAATTAAATAATAAGGAATTTGTTTCACAATTTTACTCAAATCTATCTCACGTCCATGAAATTCATTTATTCGAACTGCATGTTTAATTAAAACGTTAATGTCGTCTAGCCATCTTCTTTTCCAACTTCCGTTGTTTCTTCTCACTAACCTCAGGTTGTTCTGGAGCTGGTGCAAAAAACCATGGAGCTAATATTTGTTTCCATAGCATCCAACCTCCTCTTAATGGTACCTATTATAATAATTCAATGTAAACATTTTATAATTTATTTAAACATATTATATAAGTAAAAAATTGAAAGAAGTATAAGAAATGAACAAATTATTTTAAATTGTTTTATAATTTATAAAAATTATTTTATAATTATATTATTATTTCATTAAGTATACTTACAAGAAGCCATAGCAACCAAAAATAATTTGATATGAGAGAAAGTACTTGTACTCCAGAAGTTAATATAATTAAATCTTTTATATGTCTAAAATATGAAATGAAAATGTTATTATATTATAATAAATTTGTTAATATATAATAAAATATTATATTATTTAGAGATTATTGAAATATTTTGTGATATTTACTCTGCTATACCTCCTTCCATATTAAGATCAATTCCAGAATCTAAAAGCTGACCAGATTCTGAATATGTTGCATGTGCTATATATTTCATAAATTGATAACTTCCTATATATACAATTCCAGAAAATATGGTTAATGTCTGTAATTATAAAATATAATATGTCACTGTACATGCATATTATAAAAATAAAAATAATATTTCAAATATGAAATTTACCGTTGCTAATGTTGTAAAATTAAAAAATAACATCGTAACCATAAAGTATGTTCCTACTGCCCCAATGATCATATTCTGATAAAAACTCAATGTTGTTTTATTCTCTTCAACTATCTGTTTAGCTCCTTTAGTTGCTACTTTAGTTTTTTTAGTCTAAAAATATAATAAATGTCATTATTTATTATTTATTTTATTAAAAATAAAAAACTTAAATTTATTATTTCATAAATCAAAATATTATAAGTGATTATATGAAAATAATTATAAATTCAGAATGGTTAAGTAATAATAAAAAAAAAGAATAATATTTTGAATAATAATTAAATAACTTACTGTCATTTTATTTATAAATTATAGTACATAAAATATTTAATATGTCTAATTAAATAATATATAATTAAATTTATTATTATTATTAATATTCAGTACATGACACAAATTTAATCTTATTAAATATGTATTCAAAAACACTTAAGGTTTGTTGAAGCCACGTGAAAGATGTCATATAATAAAAGTCTCTAGGTTAACATTCTGTAATTCATAATTTAGCATAAATTCTTAAATTTTGATAATCATCATTTGTTGTTTTTTTTAATTGTTTAAAATTTCAAATTTTAATTCTTTTTATTAAATTTTTATAAATAATGTGTGAAAAACAAATGCAATAAATTTTTTAAAATTATATTATATTGATTAAAATTTATAAAATTCATTATATTGGCATGAAAATGAAAAAAAATTATCAATTTATAATTTTTATTAAAATATTTCCTAAAATTTTATTATTTATGTAAATATAAATTTATATAAATATAAAATATAAAATACAAATTTTTAAAAATATATTAAAAATTATTAATATTTCTATTTTGATGTTATTTTTTCGAAATATAGTTTTATTTTATTACATTCTAATTAAATAAAGAATTTTTATTTTTGTAAAATGAAAATATTAATATATAAACAAAAACTATTATATATATTTAATAATTTTTTTATTACTTTTCATTAATTAAACAAAAAGAGAAAAAAACATTATGCCACACATATTATTTTTCGTTTTATTATTATATATTTGAAAATTACATATTATAAAATTAAATTAAACTTAAATATTATATTATTAAAATCTTATTGAAAAGAAATATATATTAGATATTATAACTACAATATATAATCTATATTGAATTAATTATTTCAAATTTGAATTTAAGTTCATTGAATTGAATTTAAATATATTGAAGATATATT